CTGTTGAGCCACGAAGGGTGGTTTGTTCGGCGACATTCCGAGTGGTCGGCGGCATGGGCCGAAGCCCCAGGGGCATTCATCACGCTTCGCGTATCCCCACCAGCCCAACCCAAAACAGTCACCAGGCGAGATGCCCTGATCAGGGATGCGTAGCCGCATCCAGCGCAGCAGTGAATCGCACCCGTCCTCGCATATGTTTTCGAATGATGGATATTAGGAGGACGAGGATGAGGAAGAGGAGGAGGAGGAGGAGGAGGAGGAAGAGGCTGAACCAGAGGGGAAAGGAGAGGGAGGATCGACGACGGCGGCGAGGAGGAGGAGGACGACGACGTCGACGACAGGAGTTAATTTCAGGATGTTTCCGATGGGTCGCTCTGGCAGCGTCTTGGAGGCCTCTTGGGGCCAGCGTGGGGCCCTCTTGGGGGGCACTTTGGAGGCCAGGCCGCCGCAGACCGTAGTAAGTAATAGGAGACGCTCTGCCACCTATGTGTTCACATTGTTCGCCCGTACGCTCTGCCACCTATGTGTCCACATTCGGCGCCCTGGTGTGCCGGGCCGTTGGGGTGTCTGATGAATCGCCCCTCATTCCCAGTAAGTTTCAGACCGTAGCCGTAGATAAAGGGATGCGCTCTGCCGCCTATGTGTCCACATTGCTTGATCGTTCGATCTGCCGCCTATGTGTCCACAGTGCGTCTGAATCGTTCCCATTCCAAATCAGCTGTAGACCGTCGTAGGTAATAGGAGGCATTCTGCCACCTATTGCTCCATATTGTTCGCTTGTGCGCACTGTCACGCATGTGCCCGCATTCGGCGTCAGGTTGTTCCGTGCCAGTGCAGCGTTACTGTTGCAGGGACGATGCTCAGGCGAGTTGCTGTGGCCAGGGGAATGTAATAGCATACATCTGGACAAACATGGGCACCCGATGTTTTTACCAAACCATCCTGTGGTGCTGGGTCCTCGTTTTGAAGAGACGGCGCCCAGCGTCACTTCTCCTCTTCCTCCTCCTCCTCCTCCCCCTCCTCCCTCCTCCCCCGCGTCGCGCTGGTGACCACGCCCATTTCGGCGCACCACTCGCGCGTTCGTGGCATCATAATGAGCTCCACCGACGGCCCCAGTGGGCGCGGGCGCATTACTGACCACGCCCATCTCGGCACACCCCTCACGCGCTTCGTGGCTCCATAGGGAGCTCCACCGACGGCCCAAGTGGGCGTGGGCGTGTTATTGACCACGCACATTTCGGCACACCCCTCACGCGTTTCGTGGCCCAATAGGGAGCTCCGCCGAAGGCCAAAGTGGGCGCAGGCGCATTACTGATCACGCCCATTTCGGCACACCCCTCACGCGCTTCGTGGCCCCATATGGGGGCTCCACCGACGGCCCCAGTGGGCGCGGGCGTATACTGACCACGCACATTTCGGCACACCCTTCTCGCGTTTCGTGGCCCCATAGGGCCATAGGGAGATCCACCGACGGTTTCAGTGTGCGGGGGCGTATTATTGACCACGCACATTGCAGCACACCCCTCACGCGTTTCGTGGCCCCATAGGGAGCTCCACCGACGGCCAACGTGGGCGCGGGCGTATTACTGACCACGCCCATCTCGGCACACCTTTCACACGTTTCGTGGCCCCATAAGGGGCTCCACCGACGGCCACAGCGGGCGCGGGCGTGTTATTGACCACGCCCATTTCGGCGCACCCCTCACGCGTTTCGTGGCCCCATATGGAGCTCCACCGAAGGCCAAAGTGGGCGCGGCCGTATTACTGATCACGCACATTTCGGCACACCCCTCACTCATTTCGTGGCCCCGCAGTGAGCTCCACCGACTGCCCCAGTGGGCGCGGGCGTATTATTGACCGCGCCCAATTTCGGCACACCCCTCGCGCGTTTCGTGGCCTTAAGTTAAGGGAGCTCCACCGACCGCATCAGTTGGCGCGGACACATTACTGACCACGCCCATTTCGGCACACCCTTGTCCCGTTTCGTTGTCCCATAGGGGGCCCCACCGGCGGCCCAAGTGGGCACGGCCCCGCAGGGCCGCAGGTCCCGCAGGCCCTACAGGGCCCACAGGTCCCACAGGTCCCACAGGTCTCGCGGGCCTCGTAGGCCCCACACACAGGTCTCACAGGTTCCAGAGGTGTCGTAGGTCTCACAGGTGCCAAAGGCCCCAGAGACCCCGTAGGTCCTACAGGCCCCACAGGCCCCGCAGTTTTCCACAGGTCCCACAGGTCACAGATCCCCCCCCGGGCTCAACAGGTCCCGCAGGTCCCGCAATTCACCCAGGTTCCGCTGGTCTTGCATGGTCCGCATTTCCCACAGGCCCCGCAGGCCCCAGAGGCGTCGCGCGTCCCACTGGTCACACACGTGTCGCAGGGTCCCCAGATTTCAAACGCCCCACAGGTGTCGCAGGTTCCGCAGGTGTGGCAGTTCCCACAGGACCCGCAGGCCCCGCAGGTCCCACTGGTGTCGCAGGCCCCGCAGGTTTTACATGTCCCACAGACCCTAATCCCTTGAACCGCGACCGTAGATCCTAGACCTTAGACCCGAGGCCCCTGACCCTAGTCCCGAGGCCCATCGGCCCTAGATTCGATACCCGAGACCCCAGACCTTCGGACGTAGCTTCGAGGCCCCAGGCCTTAAAGCCTTAGACCCTGGACCCGAGACCTTCTAGATCTTAGACCAGATTCTTCAGACCCTAGACCATATACCCTAGACCCCAGGCCATAGGACCCTGGGCCCTAGACCCGAGGCTGTAAACCCTAGGGACCAAACCTTGAACCCGATGCCGTAGACCCTAGACCCGCGGCCCCAGACATTGGAACTTATATTGGCATTTCCGGAAGGCGCCCTGCGAGGGGCCGCCAGAGACCCTGGCGCCCGGGGACTCCCCGGGCAATGAGAGCGCCCAGCGAGAACCCTCCCGGGTACGGCGAATCTGCCTTAGGTGTTTTTTTTGGCCTTCCCGGAAACGGCACATTTTTTTGAAACTTTTTTCGATTTTTATTTGTACTTTTTTTGAACAGTTTTGGAACTTTTTTTGAACTTTAACTTTTTCTTCAATTTTTAATTTTCATGGGTTTGAACTTTGTTTGAACTTTTTTTGAACTGTTTCGGAACTTTTTTTGGATATTGAACTTTTTTTGAACTTTTTGGGAACTTTTTTTGAACTTTGAACTTTTTTGCACTTTTTTGAACTTTCTTTGAACTTTTTTCAATATGTTTTTCGAACTTTTTTGGAACTTTTTTGGAACATCATTTGAACAGCTGTGGAGAGCTTGACTGGTCCCCGGGGGGTCTCCCGGATGCCGCCGCGGAATTTCCAAGCCCCGCCGGCGGGGGGCCCTTCGCGGTTGCTTTTTTGGGGGGCGGGGTCCCGCGGGGGAGTGTGATTCCCGCGGCGTGCCGCAGGGCCCCGGCACTGTGCCGCGCACCTTACATTGGGGCGTGGGCACAGGCATAGGGTCTGGGGCGCGGCGCCTAGGGCCCAGGGGCCAGGGGGTCTCAGGTTTTGTTTGGGCCCCAGGACCCTAGGCCCTAGGCCTACAGCCTCTGGCGTAAGGCATCGATGCCACGGCCAAGGAATTTGGGGCTTGGCCCATGGACCTAGGCCATGGGCCCGGAGGCTCCGCGCCGTGGGCCCAGGGTCTAGGGTCTGGGGGCTGAGGCGCGGCGTCCACGGTTCAGCGGCTTGGGGCCTTGGGTGTGGTTTGGGCTTCAGGGACTCGGCCCTGCTGCCTCGGGCTTCAGGTGTCGCGGCTCAGGTTTACGCCGTCGGGCTTGCGCCCAAGGGCCTCGGCACTAGGCCTTGAGGCTTAGTGTAGGGCCTGGGGCCCAGGGTCTGCAGTGTAGGGTTTCGGGCCGAGGGCTTAGAAATGCAACGCTTGACATGTAGGGTAAGAGGTCAAGGGCTTAGGGCTTACCGCTTGAAGCGCAAGGTCCGCGACGCAGGTCCTCGGGCCGAAGGTCGGAGGTCTGGGGCCAATGGGCCCAGGGCCTCAGGCCTGTGGCTTAGGCTCAGGATTTAGCGGTCTGGGTTCTAGGGCTCAGACCCAGGCTCTAGCGGCTAGCGCCATGGGCCTGTGGCCGAGAACCTCGGCTCTCGACTTCAGGCCCTAAGCGATAGGCCCGTAAGCCATTCGCCACAGGCCTCGGCCATGCGCCATGCGCCCTAGGCGCTTGGCCCTCGGCCCAAGACTCCGAAGCCCCATGCCTCGGGCCCGCGGCCCCAGGTCCAGCTTCTCGGCTCTAGGCCAGAGGCCAGTTACCAGGAAGGCCCCAATACGGCCCCCGAAGCGCCCCAAGAGGGCCTCAAGAGGCGACGTTGCGGGCTGCGGAGGGGCAGCGCTGTTAGGCCCCCCTTCTTAATTTACGTCCTCAAAAGTGGCCCCTAGAGCCCCCCCGTGGCTTCCAAGAGGACCCGCAGAGACCGCCAAGAGGGCCCCGAGATGAAGATGGCCTCAAGAAGAGTGTTCTAGATAGCTAACACAGCATGGCTCGCAAGATGGCGTAAAAGAGACCCGGAGGCAACGCAAGGAGAGCGCGATGGTGGCCCCAAGACGCCCCCAGAAGGGCCAGACAAAACCAGCATGGTATCATGCGGGCTTCCACTCTTTCCTTTTACCGATCCTTTGCTTTCTTCCCGGCCCCTGCATCATTATCCTCCTCCTCCTCCTCCTCCTCCTCCTCCTCCTCTTCTCCCTCTTGTGTCATTCCCTCCTGTTCCTCCTCCCGCCTCCTCCTCGTCCCCCATCCTCCCAAGATGGCCCCAGAGGGAGTCCTGAGAGGTTCACAAGACATCTCCCCTGGGCTTTCTGGCATCCGGAATTTGGAATTCTGGTGCGCCGGGACCGCGGCCCCGCGTGGGCCAGAAACCTATTGCGTTGTCTTGAGGTGGCAGCCTTCAGGACGCACCCGCCCCTTCGTGGGCCAGCGCTGCCGCCGAGCCGCCGTGGGCACATTTGTGGGAGACTTACACTCTGCAGATCCGCAGCAAATTGAAGATCGCCCCCGACGACCACCGGTACAGCAGCCAGGTTGAACCCGCTAAGCTTGCCCACCTAGCGCCTCGCATGCGGGATGTCTTGGACGTTGCGTGGGCCTGGAGGCTCAAGAACGGCTTCCCCGCCGAGGGTTTCTACAGCGATCCGTCGCAGGACATCCGGCGAATGCCGTGGTCGAGTGACATAAAAACTTTCACGAGGTCGTCGACCATATGGGACTTCCACAACGCACGCTTTCTGAAAAAGTATGACAAGCTGTTGCTGCACGGGTATCCCGTGAACGAGATGGACTTCCTGGGCTTCGACACAGGCGTGAACACATGGGCTGGTGAAGGTATGTTCCTGCCTTCAATCGGGTCGGTTCTCCTCGGATATTTTCTGAACCCCCGCGCTCCGTGGTGGAAGGAGGGGCCTGTCCAGGGCACGGGCGCGGGCGAAACCGCCGCGTAGCCCTTCGGCTCAACCTTCGGCCGCCGTGCGGCGGCGAGGGTGGGCGGGGGCCTGAAGCGAGGGCGGGGGAGGGGCAGAGTGGGAGGAAGGGGAGGGTGCGAAAGGGGGAGGCAGAGGAGCGAGTGGCCGCCGGAGACAGACTAACCAGGCAAATTGTTATATAATGTGAAAGCCTTCGGGCATTACCGCCGGCCACTCCCGCCCCAGGAATCGACGGCGTCTTCATCGCCGTCGTCGTCCCCCCCCCCGGCTTTTCCCATCCTGGGGCACCCAGGTCTTTAGGGGGGACTTTTCGGGCCCTTTCGAGGGCATCTCTTTATGTTGGCCCTCGTGGGCTTGTTGCCGCCCCATTGCGTTGATTTCGGGGTCTTTGCAGGTCACTTCGCCAGGTGTGTTGGGAGTCTTCGGGGCCTTCTCAGGGTGCCGCGGGGCGCATCTCAAAGGGAGCTCTTAACGGTGAATTGACACTGCGCTGTTGACACTGCGTTAAATGAGTGAATTGACACTGCGCTGTTGACACTGCGCTGTTGACACTGCGCTGTGCTGTTCGACACTGCGCTGTTGACACTGCGCTGCGCTGTTGACACTGCGCTGTGCTGTTCGACGCTGCGCTGTTGACACTGCGCTGTGCTGTTCGACGCTGCGCTGTTGACGCTGCGCTGTGCTGTTCGACACTGCGCTGTTGACGCTTCGCTGTGCTGTTCGACACTGCGCTGTTGACGCTGCGCTGTGCTGTTCGACACTGCGCTGTTGGACACTGCGCTGTGCTGTTCGACACTGCGCTGTTGACACTGCGCTGTGCTGTTCGACGCTGCGCTGTTGACGCTGCGCTGTGCTGTTCGACACTGTGCTGTTGGACACTGCGCTGTGCTGTTCGACGCTGCGCTGTTGACACTGCGCTGTGCTGTTCGACACTGCGCTGTTGACGCTGCGCTGTGCTGTTCGACACTGGTCTGTTGGACACTGCGCTGTGCTGTTCGACACTGCGCTGTTGACACTGCGAGGTGCTGTTCGACACTGCGCTGTTGACACTGCGCTGTGCTGTTCGACACGGTTCTGTTGGACACTGCGCTGTGCTGTTCGACACGGCCTGTTGACACTACTGCGATGTGCTGTCGTGCTCTGGCGCTGTTGACACTGATGGCGGCTCACCTGTCGACACTGCGGCCGTGAACACTTACGCGCTGTGCTGTTCGAACCCTGCGCTGGTGGACACTGCGCTGTGCTGTTCGACACTGCGCTGGTTGACGCGCGTTGTGCTGTCGACGCTGCGCTGTTGACGCTGCGCTGTTGACACTGCGCTGTTGACACTGCGCTGTTGGCTTCTCGCTGTTGACCCTGCGCTGTTGACACTGCGCTGTTGGCCTTGCGCTGTTGACGCTGCGCTGTTGACACTGCGCTGTTGACACTGCGCTGTTGGCTTCTCGCTGTTGACCCTGCGCTGTTGACACTGCGCTGTTGGCCTTGCGCTGTTGACGCTGCGCTGTTGACCGCACGTTGTTCGCATTAAGAACACTGCGCTGTTGACACTGCGCTGTGCTGTTTCGACATTGGCGCCGTTGGGCGGCTGCCGCAGTTGCTTTCGACACTGCGCTGTCGACCACTGCGCTGTTCGACGCTGCGCTGTTGGACGCTGCGCTGTTCGACGCTGCGCTGTTGACACTGCGCTGTTCGACACTGCGCTGTTGACGCTGCGCTGTTCGACGCTGCGCTGTTGGACACTGCGTTGTTCGACGCTGCGCCGTTCGACACTGCGCTGTTCGACGCTGCGCTGTTCGACGCTGCGCTGTTCGACACTGCGCTGTTGACGCTGCGCTGTTCGACACTGCGCTGTTGACACTGCGCTGTTCGACACTACGCTGTTGGACACTGCGCTGTTCGACGCTGCGCTGTTCGACACTGCGCTCTTCGACACTGCGCTCTTCGACACTTCGCTGTTCGACACTGCGCTGTTCGACGCTGCGCTCTTCGACACTGCGCTGTTCGACACTGCGCTGTTCGACACTGCGCTGTTCGACACTGTCACCATCGCCTTGTAGACTATTGCCTTATTGCCCATAGGTCGGCGCAGTCCTGGTGCAGGCGTCCCGCAGGGCTGCAAAAGGGTGAGGGCGAAAAACACTGAGGGGCGATGCCCAGGCAAATTTCAAACATTTGCCTGAGTATCGCCCTGCAGCGTTTTCGCGATATGCCTTTAGCCCTGTAGCCCCTTAGCCTTATAGCACCATCGCCTTGTAGACTATTGCCTTATTGTCCTAGAGGTCGGCGCAGTCCTGGTGAGGTGATGATGATGATGATGATGATGATGAGGAGGAGGAGGGTGGGGAGGAGAGGAGGAGGAGGAGGAGGAGGAGGAGGAAGGAGGAGGAGGAAGGGGGGGGGATAGAAAAAAAAAAAAGTAGGAGTAGGGAGGAGGTAGGAGGAGGAAGGAGGAGGGGAGGAGGAAGGAGGAGGATGAGGAAGGGGTGGGGGGGGGAGGAGGAGGAGGAGAGGAAAGAGGCGGAGCAGAGGGAAATAGGAAAGGAAGGGAAGGGATCGACGACGGCGGCGAGGACGACGACGACGACGACCGGAGTTGATATCAAAATCTTTCCGGTGGGTCGTTCCGGCAGCGTTTTGGAGGCTTCTTGGGGCCAGCGTGGGGCCCTCTTGGGGGGTACTTTGCAGGCTGAGACCAAGAGACGCTCTGCCACCGCCGTCGCCACCACCACCACCACACCACACACGCACCACCGCCGCAGCCACCACCACCACCACCACCACCACCCACGACCACCCACACACACCACACACCACACACCACACACGCACCACCACCCCCACCACCACCACCACCACCACCACACAACACACACACACCACCACCACCACCACCACCACCACCACCACCACACCACCGCCACCACCACCACAACCACCACCACCACCACCACCACCGCCACCACCACCACCATAACACACCACACACACACCACCACCACCACCACCACCACTACCACACCACGCACACCACCACCACCACCGCCACCACCATCACCACCCAAAAGCCGAAGGTAATTCCCAATGTAAAAAAGCCGACACGTAATTCACAAAGCTGGATTTGATTTTTCTTGAGCCCTTTGAGGAGGCAGAAGGACGGTGGGTCACCCGCCCCGCGCGTGCGCGGCGGCGCAGTTCTGCATTGTTAACAATACAAAAGCCGACATGTAATTCCCAAAACTGAGCTTGATTTTTTTTGAGCCCTTTAAGGAGGCCGAAGGACGGTGGGTCACCCGCCGCGCGCGCGCGGCGGCGCAGTTCTGCATTGTTCACAATACAAAAGCCGACATGTAATTCCCCAAACTGGATTTGCTGTTTTCTCGAGCCCTTTAAGGAGGCCGAAGGGCGGTTGGTCACCCGCCGCGCGCGCGCGGCGGCGCAGTTCTGCATTGTTCACAATACAAAAGCCGACATGTAATTCCCAAAACTGGATTTGGGTTTTTCTGGAGCCCTTTAAGGAGGCCGAAGGACGGTGGGTCACCCGCCGCGCGCGCGCGGCGGCGCAGGCCGACATGTAATTCCCAAAACTGGATTTGCATTTTTCTGGAGTTCTTTAAGGGGGCCGAAGGGCGGTGGGTCACCCGCCGCGCGCGCGCGTGGTGCAGTTCTGCATTGCTCACAATCCAAAAGCCGACATGTAGTTCCCCAAACTGGATTTGCATGTTTCCGGAGCCCTTTAAGGAGGCCGAAGGGCGGTGGGTCACCCGCCGCGCGCGCGCGGCGGCGCAGTTCTGCATTGCTCACAATCCAAAAGCCGACATGTAGTTCCCCAAACTAGATTTGATTTTTTGCTGGAGCCCTTTAAGGAGGCCGAAAGGGCGGTGGGTCACCCGCCGCGCGCGCGCGATGCGGCGCAGTTCTGCATTGTTCACAATACAAAAGCCGACATGTGATTCCCCAAACTGGATTTGAGTTTTTTTTTCTGGAGCCCTTTAAGGAGGCCGAAAGAAGGTTGGTAACCTGCCGCGCGCGCGGCGGCGCAGTTCTGCATTGTTCACAATACAAAAGCCGACATGTAATTCCCAAAACTGGATTTGAATTTTTCTGGAGCCCTATAAGGAGGCCGAAGGACGGTGGGTCACCCGTCCGCGCGCGCGCGCGGCGGCGCAAGTTCTGCATTGTTCACAAAACAAAAGCCGTCATGTAATTTCGCAAAACGAATTTGAATTTTTATTGGTGCCCTTTAAGGAGGCCGCAAAGACGCTGGGTCACACCGCCGCGCGCCGCGCGCGGCGGCGCAGTTCTGCATTGTTCACACTACAAAAGCCGACATGTAGTTCCCCAGATTGGATTTGGGTTTTTCTGGAGCCCAAGGGCGGTGGGTCACCCGCCGCGCGCGCGCGATGCGGCGCAGTTCTGCATTGTTCACAATACAAAAGCCAACATGTAATTTCCAAAACTGGATTTGAATTTTTCTGGAGCCCTTTAAGGAGGCCGAAGGACGGTGGGTCACCCGCCGCGCGCGCGCGCGGCGGCGCAGTTCTGCAGTGTCCACAATACAAAAGCCGACATGTAATTCACAAAACTGGACGGTGGGTCACCCGCCGCGCGCGCGCGGCGGCGCAGTTCTGCATTGTTCACACTACAGAAGCCGACATGTCATCACCAAAAACTGGATTTGATTTTTTTCTGGAGCCCTTTAAGGGGGCCGAAGGGCGGTGGGTCTCCCGCCGCGCGCGCGCGGCGGCGCAGTTCTGCATTGTTCACAATACAAAAGCCGACACGTAATCCCCAACATTGAAGCCTTGGGTGGAGCTCCCTGGGGGGGGGGGGGGGGGGGGGGGGGGGGGGGGGGCAACCGAGCGCGCGAGGGGTGTGCCGCCGTTGGCGTGGTCAGCTATGCGAACGCGGCCATTGGGACCTTGGGTTGAGCCCCCCATGGGGCCACGAAGCGCGTGAGGGGTGTGCCGAAGTGGGCGTGGTCAGCTATGCGAACGCGGCCACTAGGTCCTTCGTTGGAGCTCCATGT